GACTAGCACAATACCTATCCCTGCCCCCCTTGCGTTTGAGGATCCATCAGCATGAAGATCCCAAATATCCCCTATTAGATCCTATGACGTTGGTGGGGGCTCGGACGTAGAGAACTCGGCGACAAAGTCCGCCAGGACTTGTCCTTTGATTGATGTTTGAGGCTTATACCTGATTTTAAACTCTCCGAGCTCTACAGCCCATTTGGCAATCCTCCCAGACATATTGGCTTAGTGAAGGATTGGCTTGAGAGGTCGGTCTGTAAGGACGTCTATGGCGTGAGCCTGGAAGTAGTGTCGAAGTTTTCTTGCCGAGATTACCAACACCAAAACTAATTTCTCCCTTGGAGAGTACCTTGTCTCGGCATCAAGCAAGGTCTTGCTTATGAAATACACGGGTCTCTGGGCCCCTTTGCTATCCTTGACCAAGGCTCCACTCATGGAGTCTTGAGATACGAACAAGTGAAGGCTTAGTACCTCCCCTGCCGCTGGAACAGATAAAGTCGGAGGATGTTTCAATTACTCTTTGATCCCTTCAAGAGCTCGGGCGCATTCCTCGTCCCAAACCCCCTTAGCTACCCCCCTCAACTTGGTAAACAATGGTTTGCACTTATCGGACGACTTAGAAATAAATCTGTTAAGGGCTGCTAACATCCCAGCCAATTTTTGAACATCCTTAACGGTCTTAGGCGCCCGGACATTCTGGATTGCTTGTATCTGCTAGGGGTTCACCTCGATCCCCCAATGAGTAACCAAATACCCCAAAAACTTTCCTAAGCTCACTCCAAATGCGCATTTCAAGGGGTTTAGTTTTAGGCCATACTTCTAGAGAATGGTGAATGTCGTGCTGAGATCATGGAAATGGTTGGCCTCCTCTTTGCTTTGACCAACATGTCATCAATGTACACCTCCATCATTTCGCCGAGCTGGTCTTTAAAAATTTTGTTCATCAACCGTTGATAAGTCGCCCCAGCATTCTTTAACCCAAAAGGCATTACTGTATAACAGTAGATTCCCCGGGGCGTGATGAACGTCGTTTTCTCCTGATCTGATTTATGCAGGGGAATCTGGTGATATTCAGCCCGAGCATCCATGAAGGTGATGCGTCTGTGGCGTCTACCAACTGATCAACCTTGGGCAAGGGGTACTCGTCCTTGGGGCAAACCTTGTTTAGGTCCGTGAAATCCACACAAACTCGTCATTTTCCTTCCTTCTTATTGGCGCACACAGTGTTGGATTGCCACTGGGGGAACTGTACCTCCTTGATGGAACCTGCCCCCAACAACTTATCCAACTCTTCATCCACAGCCTTCGCGTGATGAAACGCCGTTCTTCGGCCCTTTTGTCTAACGAGTTTGAATGAGGGATTCACATAGAGCCAATGAGTCATCACCTCGGCGCTTATCCCTGTCATCTCGACTTGGGTCCACGCAAAGACATCGGCATTGTGGCATAAAAATGAAGCCATGTCATTTCTCTCTGTGCCGCTGAGTGATTCCCCTATCAAAAAGTATTTCTCATCGCTATCCGGGCTTAGGAGAATCTTCACCAAGGCCTCAGTAGATCGGTCGGCTGGCTCTGTGATGGGCTCGTCCACTCCCGGACGACCGTTCTGTGATTGCTATTTGGCAACCACTGCATCGGGATCACACTCCTGACTGTAGCCGCTGACTCCTGTTTTCACCGCGGCATAGAAACAGCTTTTCGTCGACGCCTGATCACCCCAAATTTCCATTATGCCCTGCGGCATTGGGAACTTTATCTTCTGGTGATAAGATGAGTGAACCGCCTTTATTACATGTAACCATGATCTCCCCATAAATAGCGTTGTAAGGGGAGTCGAAATCCACCACCACAAATTTCACTGGCGTGGTCACCACCCCCGCGCCATACCATGAGGGTGATTTTTTCAGGGGGCAGGGCGTTGGAACCGTTGAAGCCGATGAGGGGGGTTTTAACAGGTTCCAGATCCTTCTAAGAGAGTCGCATCTTGCGGAAGAGGTGATCGTACATTACCTCATAGGAACTGCCTGAGTCCACTAAGATCCTCTTAACGTCGAACTTCCCGACCTGCAAAGTGATCACCAATGCATCCTTGTGGGGGTGGGTTACCCCGCCGAGGTCAGCATCAGAAAACTGAATAACCTCGGCACCGCTCTGCGGCCTGTTGGGCGGCCGCCCATCACCTCTTTCATCCACCCTGACTGCTTGAGAGACCCTTTGCAACTCGGCATGGAGAGAGTTATATGTAGGCCTTTCCACTGTGCAGGCATGGATAACATCAATCACAGGTGCTACCTCAGCTGGCACCTCGACTCGTTCCCTCGCCAACCTACCGTGATGACCCCTGTCGATGAATTCCTCGAGGTGTCCGTCTCGCACCAATTGTTCAAGGAAGGATTTATAAGGCTTGCAATCCTCCTTCAAATGGGCGATATCTTTATCATACGAACATCAGAAGGCCGGATTCCTTGTCGACGGGTCTCCAAACATCCTCGGGGGCCACTTGAAGTAGGGTTTATTTTTGATTTTAGGTAACATCTTGTGGATGGGCTCGTTGAAGACCGTGTTCACTCCCTGGAAGGATAGGCGAGTTGGGGGTGGAATAGGCCCTCCCTTTTAAGCCGACTGCTCCCTCTCCCTTTTCCTTGGCACCGCGACCCTGCTCTCAAGCGCGATGGATTCTTCTTCCACCCGGGCATATTTGTTAATCCGGGCCATTAAGTCTTTTATGTCCGCCGAAGCTTTCTTGGTCAGCAATTTGTACAAATCAGTGTCCTAGGACAGCCCTAGCCTAAATGATGCCGCGACCAATGCCTCCGAACAAGCCTCCACCTCGTTTACCTCATCCTAGTACCGGATGACATATTGTCAGAGTGTCTCTCCCCCTTTCTGCCTAAGCATCAACAGAGCGTCGATGTCCTTCAGTTTCTTACTGCTGGTGATGAATCGAGCTATGAAGAGCTCCGTCAATTGTTTCTAGGACCTAACGCTCTCAGGAGTGAGGTTCTTATACCACCTCATGCCCGTGTCCCCTAGGCTCATGGAAAAAACTTGACATAACACCCTTTGGTCAGTATCATAGATTGACATTAGTTGTCTGAATTGCCGAAGGTGGCTCTCGGGATCGGTTTTCCCATCGTACACTTTGAACCGAGGGATGGTAAACTTCTTCGGCATCTCGGCCTCCCTGATAGCCCAGACGAATGGTGAGATGACTTCGTCGGAGTAAACCTCGGGCTCACGGCTGCGTTAAGCAATGATGGAGACTTGGGGATCCTGTTTTGATCTTTCTCGAGGCCTTCGGGGTATNTAAGCATGCATGTTTGGGTTCATAGGTTTCTTGATTATGTCTTTTTATCGGGAATGAAAACCTAATTAAAAATAAAATCATTAGTTTTATTCCTTTGGTATATAAATGTCGGTGGTGGGCAACACAGTCCGACTAGAGTTGAGAGTTAGGGGCCTCTGATCTTTTATCTCNGACGCTCTCGAGTATCCCTCGGCGCAGGTCCCACCTGGACAGACTTTCCTTCTGGTCTGACTCTGACTTCCCCTCGGAGGCCGAGATCCCTCCGTGGCGGCGACGCCCCTTGGACAAGTGCCTAATCCAATCTTTCCTAGAAGGCCAGTGCCAGGGGGACTTTGGCATTCTCTCTTTTAAGCTGCTCAATGCATTTGCCCATCCGCTTTTCCACTATCTCAACGATGCTATGGGTCATGAGGTCACGGCCCCCAAGGCCTTGATCCATAAGGAGCGTTCTTTGTAAAGATTGCCCCACCCCATCTGATTGGCCCAATGAACCCGGCTCCAGAACCATTGGAAGTCGGACGGGCTCTGCGTTCCTGGCCCGTACACCTTCTCCCTCACCCTGAGATCGAGTGTTCACCATCAAATGATCGTTATTGGGAAAAATACCTTTGTTCCCATAGATGGTGCCAAATTGCATGGGATAATACCTACAATAGTATAAAACATCGATCTCCAAACTAGCGAACCTGAAACAACATGGTCAGAAAAAAGGGGGCCTGACGAGTGCCCGGCTAATCCCCTCCGAAACTTAAGTTAGTATAAGGTCGAAGGGTTTTGCTCAATAGACTATTTTTCTGGTTCAAGTTTGAGTACTTTTTGTCCATTTTTGTGAGAGTATTTATATCTGAATTAACAATGATTGCCAAAGATCTCAAGTCCCATCTGGACATCTTACATCTGACACACCATTCCTCGTGCAATGATTGTTTTCTACTCATGTCCCCTCCTATTGAATGCTAGGAAAATGGGATAAATGCTCGGTCAAATGCCGAGCATTTATGCCATTCCCTGAGTACCCAAATCCCCCAGATTGGCATCCGACATCGACTGAGCATTGAATACTCGGGGGAAACAGTTCTTCGGGAGAGCCGATCGCATCTTCTCGGCGCATCAGCCATTATGACAATAGACTTAGACTCCCAAGGAGCAGGTGCTGGCAGACGCGTATTTATTTGTCTTGTCACTGTCACTGTCACTCATAATGCCATAAATATGAGGTTACATCGCATTATATACGATGTCAGCTGTAGTTTTCAGCGACTCCGGGTCATCATATCTCGGCTTATCTCCTCGGCACCCATTGGATATTTCAACAGTTTCATTATTTCACGTGTCAATCCGGAGGCTAAGGAGCCACCTAGAGTCCCACCGGGACTTATTGGTGAACTTTTTGTTGTTCACGTGATGTTGGGATTTGAACTGTCTCTTAAGTTTTTTTGTATACACTCTGGGAAAGATAGGTATTCGTGTCCTAATTTAGGATCAGGCGAATTCATAAGAGAACCGGGTTTTAGTTGCAATGATAGTTTTATTGAAAGAGTGGTGTTATATGTCTTGCACTTTTGAATACATTACGTCAGATGTTTTAGGTTTTGTTGTGACCAATCTAATTTTCTCCTGTGCCTGAATTATGTAATTTTCCCTGCAATTACATGAGTTGGAGGGTTTCATGACATTTATCTTTTGATAGGCAGAAAGGAGAGGCCAAAGAGAGTTGGAGGGTTTCATGACATTTATCTTTTGATAGGCAGAAAGGAGAGGCCAAAGAGGGTCAACAAGAGGTTGAGTGGGGAAAGATTAGTTGTGTCTAAGATGGCGGGATATGAACGGATGACTGTGACTTCAGATGTGAAATCAGGAAACATGGTTTTCGAGCCTATTCTAGAGGAAGGGGTCTTGAGGTTTGACTGTTCTGCGGATGATAGAAATGTGGCTTTGCCTAGTCTTTCTTTTGTTAACCCTAAAGATAGAGAGACACCAATTATGACTACCGACAAAGCTCCATCATTCACTCCTACTTTTGAGTGTGTGCTTGGACAACAAATTGTTAATCTTCAGGTCAGTTAGTTAGATATCACTGTCTATCTTTTTCCGTTAGCATATTGTATTTCCTTCAATATGTGCCTGCGTATCTTATACATTTTGTTAATGCGATTAAATTTGGTTTTCATCTAGCTTCCTTCGGGTACCTCATTCTATGGAACAGGAGAAGTTAGTGGACAGCTTGAACGGACAGGGAAAAGAGTCAGTTTGCATTGTCATCAATGAATTTTTTCTTGTCTATAATCTTCCTGAATTAACCAATTACATTGTTTATAGGTTTTTACCTGGAACACAGCCGCATGGGGTTATGGTCCTGGAACTACATCATTGTACCAGTCACATCCTTGGGTACTAGCTGTTCTTCCAAATGGAGAGGCACTAGGGGTTCTAGCAGATACAACAAAACGCTGTGAGGTATTCACGCTTTCTGATTTATTCCATACATTTGTCGTCGTTGATCATTTTTGTTTTTATGTAGATTGATTTGCGGCAAAAATCAACTGTAAAGCTTGTAGCTCCATCATCATATCCTGTCATTATATTCGGCCCATTTCCTTCAGCAACTGATGTTCTGATCTCTTTGTCACATGCAGTTGGTAACTGTCTGAACCATTTCATCTTTTGGTTCTTATCTTTGCAATGCTACTACCTCTTTGTTTTTTCCCCCTTTTCATTTATGCTTTCATTTGATAATTGTCTGTTGTAATCAGTAAAATAAAATGAAGGCAAGAAAGGATTTTGGCATTGAGATTTTTGGATCCTTAATCCCAACTTGTTCACCTGTATTATTCTCGCCACCCAGATTTGCATCGGATTCTGAGTCTTATTAGTTTGAGGAATGCATCTAGGGAAGGTTTGTGCAAATCCTTCAAATAGGAAAGGCAACCAAAATTGATTTTGCAATAGGAGAATGAGAAAAAGAACAATTCACGTTGTCGTACCTCAAAACTGATACCAACTTTTTAGACCGGAGCTGTTACTGGTTAAGAAGCATGAGATATTTACATTTGTTTTATGTTGAAGACTTACAATTCCCATTATGAAGGGGATGCCCTCAGGACCTTAGCTATAGTTCTTTAGTGATTAGAAATGCTCTTTTATATTGGAACATTGGACTCTGGTACTATCGTTGTGGTAAGAAGCAACATGACAATTTACTAACCTTTGTCATAGAAAATAATCTTCTACTAATTGTAGTACAAAGTTAACTTGATATGGTGGAAGCACTTCACAAGTTTGAATGTCCTTAAATGAATTCTTTGTACCTCTATACTCCTCCCCCTACAAAGTCAACTTGGTATGGTGGAAGCACTTCACAAGTTTGAATGTCCTTAAATGAATTCTTTGTACCTCTATACTCCTCCCCCTAAAAAGAACCAAAAAATGAGCATACAAGGAGGATAGGAAGTTATTTGCATAGGAACTTAACTAAAAACTATGGCTTAGAGCATTGCAGAGAAAATAGAAACGAAATTACGTTACCTGTCAAAAATGTGAAACCTTAATGGAGAATTTTTCTTCATGAATAATTGAATCAATGCAAAAAAAGTAACTAACCATTATAGAGTGATGTGGAAGTTGAAGCATGCATGTTTGGGTTCATAGGTTTCTTGATTATGTCTTTTTATCGGGAATGAAAACCTAATTAAAAATAAAATCATTAGTTTTATTCCTTTGGTATATAAATGTCGGTGATGGGCAACACAGTCCGACTAGAGTTGAGAGTTAGGGGCCTCTGATCTTTTATCTCTAGGGACAAACAAATCTTTTCTCCAACTTCAACAAACCTTACTCCAACCCATACTTTGAAACATATAACCCAGGGTGGCGGAACCACCCGAACTTCAGTTGGAGAAACACATAGTCAACTCCCATGAACCAACAACAAGGTTCACACCCACCACCTCAAGGACCTCCCGCAGACCAACCATACCAACCTCCACAAAAGAGGAACCTTGAGGATACTTTGAATCAGTTTATGCAAATGAACTATAACAATAGTTTCACTCAGGCTTTTACTGATTCAAAACACAAACCACTCAATCTTTCGAGGATCTTAAAAGCCACATCCAAAAATTGACTCAATCCATGACCACACTTGAAAATGGCAAGTTTCCTGCCCAACCAAAACCACCACAAGGCCAATTTCAGGTAAAAAATCCCACAACCATGGAAATGCTACAAGACCAAGCCTAAGTTGTCACTACACTAAGAAGTGGCAAGGTGATTGACAAGACTATCAAAGACATGCTACTTTCAAAGCCAAAACCTAAGTCACCCCAGTCAATCCACCAATTGAGCCTGAATGTGAGAAATAAGAGGTACCCGAGCCCATGATTGAACAAGAACCAGAGCCATCAAGGGAAGAAGAACCCTCGTGTTCTATTCCTACTCCTTTTCCTCATAGACTCAAAACTGCACAGAAGATGAATAATCAAGCAAAAATTTACGAGCTCTTCATGCAAGTAAAAATCAATATCCCACTTTTGGATGCAATCAAACAGGTTCCATCTTATGCCAAGTTTTTGAAAGACTTGTGCACAGTCAAGAGAAGCCAGAATGTTCAAAAAAGAGTCTTCCTGATAGAACATGTCAGTGTCTTGTTTCAACACAAAACCCCTCTAAAATATNGAATCAATGCAAAAAAAGTAACTAACCATTATAGAGTGATGTGGAAGTTTAAGCATGCATGTTTGGGTTCATAGGTTTCTTGATTATGTCTTTTTATCGGGAATGAAAACCTAATTAAAAATAAAATCATTAGTTTTATTCCTTTGGTATATAAATGTCGGTGGTGGGCAACACAGTCCGACTAGAGTTGAGAGTTAGGGGCCTCTGATCTTTTATCTCTAGGGACAACTTGCAAAAAGTGTTTCTGTGTCAAAATTTCATGGCTATTGATGATGCACAAATGGGTTTGCACACCACTGGTCAAGTAATCACTAATAAATGCAGTAAATAAGTAGAGAGAGAAGACAAGGATTTATAGTGGTTCGGTCAACGTGACCTATGTCCACTTTGAATGGTGGCTAGGGTCGCCGGGTATTTTATTATTTCAAGTGTGTTTGGGGAGCAGGGAGTTACAAGCTATAAGAAGGAGAAGAGAGTTGTGCTCGACTGAATGTGATCTGCTTCCTAAGTGTTGGTGGGGTTTACAGTTTATAGTCGTCTCATAACAGATTTGGGCGAGATGTTAGTAACTAAGTAGCTAATTTAGTGGAGATGACGCCTTCCTCTCAACGGATGAGGCAGTTGTAGTATTCTCCATGAGATTCGATCAAAGGATGAGGTGAGGGTTGACTCTTTTCAAGGCGGTGAGGATGAGACTCTTGGATGACCTTGCTTACTTTCTTGACTATGTAGCTCCTCGAACCCTGATGAGCTTGACTGAGCGTAGATCCCCTTGGGCTGGATACTATATCTTTATAAGTTGGGCTTATAATATGAGTTAAGCCCTTGGGCTTGGCCCATCATGTGCCCCCAATGCCCGGTTTTCAATGAAACTTAGATAATAGAGCATTTAGTTGAATTTGAATTCTGATCAAGAAGATTCCTCTTGACTACGGAAACAAAGTTAATGTTTTCAACCCAACAAGGCCTCTCTAGCAATCTGAGAAGAATCCCGCTTCGTCCATGTTGTGTTTCGATTGGATTTTGGGGATCGACCTTCATTCCTGAATCACGAGCTAAGACTCCTCCTTCATTCCTGACATATATTTAGCTCTGTAGGACATCTCCATCTACATAAACTCTCCCACTTTTATCTCCTTTTGGATTCTAGGGTGTGACTGGAGGAGAAGGTTGGGCTTGTGCTCTGCAGGGCGCTGACGAGCTGGGTGCCTGAGAGGTGTTGGGTGCCTGAGAGGTGCTAGGTGCCAGGGTTGGACGCCTGAGAGATGCTCGGCGCCTGTGTTAGGCACTTGGGTTGGGCGCTTGAGAGATGCTGGGCACCGGGGAGATGCTGGGCACGTGAAAGGTGCTGGGCGTCTGAGAGGTGTTAGGCGCCTGAGAGATGCTGGTTGCTAGTGCTGAGCACCGGTTAAGAGGCGATTTTGCTGATCGCAATGGAGGGGCGCTGTTTGGGGACAAACGCAGATAGGCCTTGTTTGTGCTAGTTGTTAAGTGCGGGAGTGCTGTGGCAACGAACTGACGTGCCGGATGGAATAGGCCCGTGGGTTATAGACAGCCTGAGTTTCAAAAGCGTGCCTAGAGATGATAAAAATAATGTTATTCCAACATCAAAAAATATGTAACATGATTACTTGGAGAAAGAGACAAATTATTTGCGTGAGAGCACAAACAGAGTTTGAGGATTGCTTGTATGAGAGCTGCACCTTTTGAGACCGAACATTCGGCGACCCATAAGAGAGCCCCCAAGCTGGAGGTATAGGCTGCCTGCTTGAGAGCAGAACAGAGACCAAATTTTTGGCTACCCGTGAGAGAACCGTTAAGTTGAAGATATAAGCTGCCTACTTGAGAACAGTGCAGAGACCAAACTTTTGGCAACCCACGAGAGAGTCGTTAAGCTGGAGATATAAGCTGCCTACTTGAGAACAGTGCAGAGGCCAAGCTTTTGGCGACCCATGAGAGAACCGTTAAGCTGGAGATATAAGCTGCCTGCTTGAGAACAGTACAGAGGCCAAGCTTTTGGCGACCCGCGAGGGAGTTGCTAAACTGAATATATAAGCTACATGCTTGAGAGCAATACAGAGGCCAAGCTTTTGGTGGTCCGCAAGAGAGCTGCTAAGCTGGATATATAGGCTGCTTGCTTGAGATCAGTGCAGAGGTAGGCCAAGCTTTTGGTGATTTGCGAGATGATTCATCTCATCTGGACCTTGTTGATTTCTTTAGCATTCATATATTTTTGACCTTTTGTCAATAGTTCTGGCACGCTCTTTGCAAGTCCACGGTTTCTGGTCCTTGTGTCTTCATGGCAATGAAGACGTCGCCCAGTTGATTTTGTATTTCTTTGATTTTTTTGTCCCAGTGATTTAGGGCTCCTTTGGAATTGTCATAAAAATGGCTTCTATGCTCCACACTTTGATTTTCTCTCTCATCCTCTTGGAAATGGGGATCTCCGGAAGAGGGAGTTTGAGGAGGAGATGGAGGTCCCTTATGGTGGGCTCCCCAGTATGGGGCGTCCAAGGGGGCGCCCAAGTGGGGAGCTCCTTGACGCCCAAGGCGTGGAGCTCCTCTGGCTTGGGGTATCACAGGCCGTGCTCCTCCTTGTTGTCTAGCGAGCGTTAGTTGCAAAATCTATTAGTTCTGAGCTACAAGCTTCTGCATTGTTTCTAGTATAACAGGATTAGTTGGTGGAGGAACAACCTCTTTTTCTTGTGCTGGATTGTCTTCAGACTAATTTATGGATCTGGTGGTGATCGCTATTGATACAGCAAGAAGGGTAATTAGGTGAGGATTTTGTCGTTCCCACATACGGCGCCAAACTGATGATGCACAAATTGGGTTTGCACACCACCTGTCAAGTAATCAGTAATAAATGCAGTAAATAAGTAGAGAGAAAAGACAAGAATTTATAGTGATTCGGTCAACGTGACTTATGTCCACTTTGAATGGCTAGGATCACCGGGTATTTTATTACTTCAAGTGTGTTTGGGGAGCAGGGA